ACCCACGGATAGCGATTTGCAAAACGTGTAATGCTGAAATTTCAAGAGGGGGTGCATCTGTAAAGAGCTTCTCTTGATACTGAATATTGTTGTTGAATTAATAATTGATTCTATGCAGATGATACCGTTGTATATACCACAGCTGTGGAGGGCCGTCTTATATTCAAAGACTAAACATTTACAACATAAGATGTTCTTTTTGAATAGAAAGAGTACTGACCCTTAGAGAGTGTTGCATTATGGGATGTTTTTTTAGCCTTAATGTTGCTAAGCTAGTCTGTTAGTGAGTCAGTGAGCAGTGAATGAGTATCAGTGGTCCAGTTCATTCTGCAGGAGTGATGAGAGAAACTTAAAGCTGCGAGCAGCGATAAACAGGCCCTCACAGTCTGAGTGCGTCGGAGCGTACTGCGGTCACTATACACGGACGCGTTACGCACCAGCACATGATGCGAAGACAGTTTAATAAATGAGATGATTATTGCCATTCAAGACTTATTTCCTGTTTCCAGTAGGTGGCACTGTGACTATGAGTGAATATTAGCATATAAATGTGTTCAGGGCGGGACTTGATTGGAGAAGAACACTGAAGTTACAACTTCCTGTTTCGGACACGCCCATAGACGAAACCTCAAGCTTTTTATAATGTTTCATAATAGAGGTTTATAAAGTTTACTGACCAAATCTGAAGTACATCAGATCAGTTCTCTAGTAGGAGTTTGTTAAAATACAACTTCCTGTTGGGTTTAGGAGCTGGCTCCAAGAGGTTTTTTTTGTACTTCTGGACATGATCTATATACATATCGGTGAAATGTGCAGCTGGGGCTGCTCTTTAGGGGGCGCTGTTGAGTAATTTAGCCACGCTCATGTGTGAGACTCATAGAACATGTAATATTTTGACATTACTGACATGTGAACCATGTTTCATAAGAGCTTGTTGCAGTTCACTGCTCAGGTCCTAAAAAGTTGAAACTACAGAAATGTGGAATTTAATGGAATATTCATGTTTTATAATCACATGAAAAAAGACAGCGTATTAGAGCCCTCTAGTGGTCTCTGTCAGTTACACTTTTATTTTTTAAGATAATAACTGTTCACTGAAGCCGAACCACATTTTTTGTGATGTTAAAATGCACAAAAGTACAGTGTTACATCACAGCTGGGTGTGGTCACAATTACAACAGAGTTCCTGTCCATTCAAACATCTGTAAACAGCTTTATAGTTGCACCGAATAACTCTCACTCTATTTTATTCATTTGTTAGCTCTTCATCCTCTCTTCATCCTCTGTGACCTCATTGTACCTAGATGCATTGTGTGCGATTCCAAAACCAGCTAAAGAAGGCTGAACTAAACATGACACTTTTGGTCCTGAACTGTTGGCTTTGAATGGCCGGAGCTTGAAATGGGAAACATCTAGAGCTTATTGTTGTAGGGTTAGGGTTTAAAACAGAAACATGCACACACAATGTATGTTCTGTATGTTGTCTGTATGTTGTCTGTATGTTCTCTGTATGTTCACTGTATGTTGTCTGTATGTTCACTGTATGTTCTCTGTATGTTGTTTATATGTTGTCTGTATGTTCACTGTATGTTGTCTGTATGTT